CCACCTGTGAACCCATCCTCATCCTTGTATAAAGAAGTCGACCCCTTTCTTTCCCCAGGACAGAGCCCTCACCCGTCCTCTGCTCCTTTGGACCTGCACATGCTCGGGATGGCTCTGACCACAATGGGCCATCCTGACCTGTGTTCCTGTCCTCCTTGTCCTTCTGCAGCTGCTCGGGACCATCCCTGGTGTGACCTCTGTGACCGGGCAGTGTCTTGTATAGTCAGGGCTGAGGGGGCCACAGAGGGGGTAAGAGGACCGAAGTTACTACCCTAAGAGCAGTTGCACCATGATTCTGAGTGTGTGGGGTGTACCTGTGCTGGTGAGTATGTATGGGGCGGGGGTGTGTTTCTTGCTCGATGCTTTTACTTGCATAATTTATCCTCGTGCACATTAGAGACCATGCCTCCTTCTCTCAGGGGTCTAATGTAGGGCTCTGAATAATAGATATTTCAGAGCTGTTGGCTAAACAGATCTTTCCTCCTCTCTCTAGCTGAAGGCGCCTCCCCTTTTCCCCATCCCCACTTTGGTACCTCTCCGACCATGTCATAGGGTTGTTGTGACTATCAGGACCCCCTTCCCAGACCCCATTCAGACAGCAGTGATGTGAAAGCCCCATCTAGACCTTGGCAGGCTGGCAGGGCGCCAGGCTACATTGCCCAAGCTGGCAGCAGGGAGGCCCGGTCCCCCAGGGGCACCTCACCAGGCCTCCGGGGCCCGGCTGGCTGAGCTCTGAGAGATTCACACTGGTTTTGAGTGGGAAAAATAAAAATTAAAAATGGTTTCTGACCAAGTGGGGAAAGTGGGCATGGGCAGGGGCAGGGTGGGGAGCAGGAGGACGCTAGCCATGGCTTCCGACTTCCTTACATCTTTTTTTTCTTTTTTTTTTTTTGCGGTACGTGGGCCTCTCACTGTTGCGGCCTCTCCCGCTGCGGAGCACAGGCTCCGGACGCGCAGGCTCCGGACGCGCAGGCTCAGCGGCCATGGCTCACGGGCCCAGCCGCTCTGCGGCATGTGGGATCTTCCCGGACCGGGGCACGAACCCGTGTCCCCTGCATCGGCAGGCGGACTCTCAACCACTGCGCCACGAGGGAAGCCCCTGGCTTCCTTACATTTGCTGGAAACAAACTGAGATCACCCTACAGCCTCTGGGACACCCGGCACAATGGTCTCAGGCCCTGGAAGCAGACCTGCTTTACAGTGTCGGCTCTGCACCTACTAGTGGTGGGGCTTAAGACAGATGACCCACGCTCTCTAAGCCTCAGTTTTCTCACCTGTATAACAGGATGATGATCATAGTAAGCACCTCTGTGAGGTCCTTGTGAGGGTGAAATGAAAACATGCTTAGCACTGTACACGGTGTGTAGAAAATGCCAAATATTTGTTATCATTTTACTGTTGTTTTTGAAAAGTAGCATTGTCAATAATTGTAAGAAGACTTTGGACAGCATACAAAGTCTAAAATGCACAGGTAAAGGCTGTGAGCAGTAAATGAGATGGGTGTGTGGGAAAAGCACTTTGTGAATTGCAAATTGTGTGCAGATATTATTATTAGCACAAATAACTCTTTTATTGCTTTGGCTTTGAAAAAAATGACAGAGCACAATTTTATGATGTTGAGTCTAAGTTCTTTACTGGTTTTGGTTTTTGTTGTGGAGGGAGATTTGTCAGACAGGCCTTAATTGGAATCTTGACCAGAGGCTGTGTGACCCACATTGGTGATCCCAGGTGCCCAATGTCTGACGAGCCCCTGGCACAGAGGATCAGTTCTGTGGCTGCTCATATTATTTTAAATTTTTTATGATAAACTTTTAATACATAGTGGTATAGTAACTTCTCGTAAGTCCATTGACAGTAAATTGTGGGCATTTGCTTAGGACAAATTCCTGAGAATTTGCTCAAGAAATTCTCACTCTCAGAGTTTTGTACCTAATATAGCTGAAGAAATGTAAGCAATTTATTCAGCATTTGATGTAGACAAATACCACTGCTTTCTCAAGTATGTTAGAAATATTTTCTTAACATCAACTGCTTGCCTTTCTTGTGTTTATCTCCATCCCATACCATTTCATTGTCTCCTCCCATCCTTCCAAAAATGAAATCAAACAAAAATTTAAAATGTAGGTACTTTTAGACAGAGGTTGAAAATTCTCTACTTATTGGCTGCATCTGGCCTGCAGATGTATTTTGTTAAGTGCTCACAATGTTTTAAAACCTTTAAGTTAGTGGGTAACATTTAAAAGTTGGTAGATATTATCTAGAAATCTGGATTTACAAAAATCCGAAAGTCTAGCAGCGCTGGACCCTCATGGCGGTGATGAAGTATGGTGGGCCCTCTTATGGGGACTTGTTTCTCCAGTTGCCCGGCCCTGCCCAAGCCCTGCTCCTGTACATGGCCTGTAGGTAACTGAGTTTGTAATCTGTGCTAAATGTAACCAACATTTCTTAGACACTGTGCATCAGTTTAGAATTATTTTTACCGGCAACGTTGACCATAGAGAAGATTATTTCACTTGCTAAGTTTTCATTTTTATAAGCCAAGTAGCTAGTGTTTTATTTAGGCTCTTTTGGGTTTAGTAGAATCACCTTCTCTCCTCCCTGTGAATTTTCCTCATTAATAATTTTGAAAGTCTTCAGCCAGACTTATAAGTCAGTGTAAAATGTTGGATAAGGCAGGAGATACATTTTGATTGCTTCTATTTAAGGGAGGTTGAACACAAGTGACCTGCTTTAATTCAGTAATTTATGATGTAAATTTGAACAATTGAAGATAGTTAGTCGTTTTTAGCCATCTCATTGAAATAGTTGTAATTGGCAGAATCCTTATTGAAAGAGGAGTTTGGGATTCTTAACACTGGAGACCATCCCCATTTGTAGGCTTTCCTCAGGCAAGCCCATACCCCCTTCCAGCCTGTGAGCACGCACAGAAATGGGGGCATATGCAGGAGGGGGGCGGTGCTGAGCCCCACAGTGTTTACTTTAGGGGAGTCCTTGAAAGCAATTTTTTAAATTACTATTATCCTATGAGCTTTAAAAAATTTTTTGCCATCATGAAAGAGTATACACTTGTAATAAATTTAGACAGCCCTGAAGAAGTGCATTAACATAAAGGAAGAAGGTCTTCTGTGACACCCGCCTCCCCACTCCCAACCTTCCCCTGAGATTGGCACTTCTTGGTGGGTATAGTCCTGGACTTTTTCATTTGCTTGTATCCCCTTAACTCCTACCTCCTTTGCCCTCATGCCCAACATACACATTTTTACTTTTGTAGAAATAGACTCTCTCTATGCCTATAGTTCTGCAGTTTTCCTTTTTTTTTTAAGCTGTCAATTGTTATGGTTTTCTTTTCAAGTCCATATGTACAGATAAATGTACCTTATTATGTGTAACAGTTGTACTCCATGGTATGGGTGCATTTTAAGCTTATTTAATCATCCCTGTATTGGTAGACACCCAGGTTGTTGCCGATTTTTGCCATTGCAACCATTGCTGCTGGGGAAATTGTTACACCGACCTGTGAACTTCTGCATGAAATTTTTCTGCTCATAGACACCTGAAAGTGGGACTTTTGGCCTAAGTAGTTTGCCATCTAAAATTTGAATCAATATTGCCTAATCGCCCTCCAAAAAGGCTGTACCAGTTCATGCTCCTTTTAAGAGTATCCAATTATGGCTCCAATAATCTAGTTTTTTGCTTAACCATGCATGAGAAAAGTAAACTTTAAAAACTCACAAATATCCATCAAAATGACACATTTGTCTTAGAAAAGCATTCAAAATATATAGCTATAGATTTAATTAAATGATTTTCATACCTAGTGATGGTTATCATCCTGCAAGGTGACAAAAATGTTCCCCAACTGTTGTTACCAATTTAATTATTAAATACTTATGTGAGGATTTCAGTTGTGCCAGGGAGCCTTTGGAAGAATAACAGCCAAATCACGGCTTCCTTTCCCACTGGTCCGCCAGGGCTGCCTTGTCTTTCCTTCCAAGGGCTGAGCCCTCAGGACGGAGGTCGGATCAGCATTTAAATGGGAGTGCCAGGCCTTGGGGAGAGGGAGACAGCAGTGATGTGGTGAAGTACCCGAGGATTCCCAGCATCCCCTCCTTACATATGAAGCCATTTTACATTGACAGGTTCTTCCCACATGTGTTTTCTCATAGCATCCATATGACCTCCCTGGGAAGCAGGCACTCCCCTCTCCCCTCATTTATATCTGGAAACACTTAGGGTCAAAGGTCTGACTTAGTGAGTGTCACACAAATGGTCAGGGTCAGTGCACTGGACCCAGTGTTCTGACTCCAGATATGGCGGAGTCAGAGCCCTGTGAGGCTGAGTGGTAGTTTTTTGCCTATAGGACACCGTAGACGTTTCCTTTACTGAACTGGGGGCGGAGAAAGGAAAGGGAAGTGATATTCCCAGACTTCCTGCGTTCATTTTTTGTCCACAGCTTTCTCCTAGCAGTGCTAACATTTACAGTCATGTTCTCGAATATTTCCTTAGCCTTTGGGAGGGATCTGTGAATTCTTGACCAGGGGCCTTAACTGATCACAGGTGGTTGAGAACTGCTGACTATATCTCCTCCTTAAAAAGGACAGGTCTCAGGAGATGGTCAGCTTACTGCCTACTAACTGTGTGTAAAATTTTGAATTTCGTCTTCTCCAGAGACCTCTTTTCTGCCTCTCTGACCTTGTGTCTGGCTCTTGCTAACAGGTTACCCTGTATTGGCCAAAGCTCCTTAGCAGTAACCTCACTTGTGAGCCTGCAGGTAAATTTGATGCCCGGACCACTTATCCTTCCAGGATGCCGTCAGCTTCATTAGATCCAAGCAGGGGTCTGGTCTAGTGAAAACAGGGATCTGGAGTCAGGTAGAGCGGGTTCAAATCCCGGCCCCCTCGCTTTTACTACTAGCAGTGTGAACCTCTCACTGTTGACCTTATGTCTCTGAGCCTCAGTATCCTTTTCTACAAAATAGTGATAATGATTCTCTCATACAGGCATTTTGAGAAATACGTGAATGAAGATTTGAAAGGTGCCTCTCAGATGTTCAGTGCAGAATAGACACTTTATAAATGTGAGTCCTCTCTCATTTTCCTCTATAGGAAGAAGGTTCTCCTCTGGGGATGCTCCAAACTGGTAGCTGCTGGCTGGGGATCCTGGGATCAGGGCAAGGCCTTTAAGAAATAAATGACAGGGTGTGGGCACAGTGTTCCAAGGACCTGGCCTTCGAGTCAGAGACTGTCGTTCCAGCTTCATCCTGCTGGTGACTCCCCGGTAACAGTGGGTAAACCTCATCCCCACTCCAGAGCTGCATTTCCTCAGTGTGACCTGGGGCTCAGGTGCTCCCTAACCATCCTGCTCGCTGCCGTAGGAGCTCCTGTGATGGAGCAGGACTTTGGAGTGTACTGGAAGGGATGCAGGCCTTGGTCTCAGGAAGACCTGAGTGTGACTGGCTCCCGTACCTCCCAGGTCTGTGACCTTGGGCACATCCACTAACCTCTCTGACACTTGTTGTCTGCATCTGTAAAGCAAGGCAAGTAGGACCCACTTCCAGGCTCACTGTCTGGACAACGGGAGTCCATGGGAACAAGGTCAGTTTCCTTCCCTCTGTCTCCGACTCCTGAGTGCTTTGGTTGGGGATTTGCCAGGGTTTCTGCAGAGGAAACCCAAAACACCTTCCCTAGGTGCAGTGCTCATCACACCTCCAGCACCCTGAGATTCTTGACTCTCGGATTTCTTGAAGTTCCTTTATGTGGTCGAGAAACTCCTCAAAGGAAGCGTACAGCCCACTGAGCTTTGCTGGTGCCTCCGTGACAGCGCCTTCCTTTCTTGCCCTGTCTCGGCTGCAGACAGCAGCTGCAGCGTGAGTCAGTTGCTTGTGTATAAATTCTTCTGCATCTCTCTGCAGAGAGAACTCCATTCATTTAGCCAGTGTTCGCTGTGCCCAGGCCTCATGCGAGGAGGTGGGATATGGAGAGGAATTGACTCACAGCCACTGCTCGCAAGAGCTCACGGGGGGAAAGGTGCAAATAGACAGTATGACACACGAGCTGTGCTGTCACCCAGGCATGTCATAGGGTGCCATGGGAGAAGAGGACCGAGTGGCCTCTCCTGGGGACCCAGCACACAAGAGATGACTTTGAGCAAGTCTTTAGAGGTGAGGAGGAGTCCACACTGCAGAAGTCCAGGCAGAGTGAGCCAGGCAGCAGGAGCCACGGGGCAGAGGCCAGAGCCCTGAGGGAGGTAACACTGGCTATCTGTCTGGAGCTGGGGCACGGGGCGAGGACCCAAGTTGCCACGTCCTGGCGGTCATGTGCACACTGACGACCTTTTGGGACCTTTCTCCTGAGCCCCCAACTCACATACCCACTGCTCACCCAGCATCCACCCCTCAGTGTGTATGGGCATTCCAGACCCAACATAACTAAATAGAAGTCTTAGGCAGAAATGTGACCCTCCCCAGTCTCCCCCGTGTTATGTGGCCCCACCATTTACCTGGTTACCCAGGCCCAAAATGTAGGTTTCACCTTTGACCCTGCTCCTTCCCTCGCTCCTCACCTTGTGTGTTTACAATGTTGACAGCTGTTCTATCACAGTATATCCTGAAAGCCGCCACACCTCCCTCCCCTTGTCCAGAGGTCCCCTATCTCTCAACAGGTCTCCCTGCTTCCACTCTGGCCCCACTGTGAGCAGCCTCCCACACAAACAGAATGACCTTTATTTATTTATTTTTTCTAAGTATTTATTTATTTATTTGGTTGCACTGGGTCTTAGCTGTAGCAGGTGGGCTCCTTAGTTGTGGCTTGCCAGCTCCTTAGTTGCAGCAGGCAGGCTCCTTAGTTGTGGCTCGAGGCCTCCTTAGTTGTGGCATGCGAACTCTTAGTTGCAGCATGCATGTGGGATCTAGTTCCCCGACCAGGGATAGAACCCAGGGTCCCCGAATGGGGAGCTTCGAGTCTCAACCACTGCACCACCAGGGAAGTCCCCCAGAATGACCTTCTAAAAAGTAAATAAGATCACAGCACTCCCCTGCTCAAAACACTCCAGTGGCTTCCTAGCATCCTTGGAGTAGAATCTGAACTCCCTGCCCTGTCCTTCCTGCCCCTCCTAGTTCTCTGGTCTCATCTCTTAGCACTCTCTGCTTTGCTCACTCCAGTCCAGCCCCTGTGTCTTTCTTGCTGTTCCTCTTTCTTGCCTCAGGGCCTTTCCACTTGCTGTTTTCTGCCTGGATTACTCTTCCCCAGCAATCCTCCCTTCACTCTGTTCTGGTCTGTGTTCAAGTGGTCTTTCCTCTATTTAAAAGGCACTGTCCTACCCCACCCCTTACACCATCACTCTGTTCTCTTACTCTGCTTTATTTTTCTTCATTAGCACCTGATTTTATATTATATATTTATTTGTATTCTTTATCCTTTGTCTTACCTAGAATGTAAATCCATGAGGATGAGCCCTTGTCTTAATCTGTCTCATTCACCACTCTATCTCCAGGGCCCAAAACAGAGCCTGGTACACAGTAGGTGATCATCACACATTAGGTTGGTAATGAAAAATATGAATGAATGAATGCAATTTAAGGCTTTGGTGTTTATTCCATGGGCAGTGCGAATCTAGTAGACACCTTTCAGGAGGTGAGTGACGTGGTCAGCACTTTTATTTTAGAAAGCCAGCTGGTGGCAGTGTGGAGGCTGGACTGTAGGAGGCGGCAGCAGGACTAGTTAGAGGCAGATAAAATGGTCCAGGAAATTGATGCTGAGCCCTATGTAGAGCTGTAGAGAGGAAAAGAGGGGACTGAGGACAGATTTTGAAGACCTTTGAGTATCTTTGGTTCCTATTGGAATAACTTGGTATAGCAATTCTTTTAAAAGAAAAACAAGAGGGGACTAGCTGGTCTGGAGAGAGGCTGGTGACACTCTGTCATGTTTCTCTCCCCAAGCAAATGTCACACCCCAGATGCACATCCCCTGCAGTGCAGTTATTATCTCTCTGAGGAGTGACTCTGCTGTTCCTAGACTCCCCGTTCAGTCTTCTACTAAGAAAGTAGTCAAGATGGTATCAGTGAGTCTGATTCTTCTTCCTACAGATGTATATATACACTTCTTCCTACTGATGTTATACACTACAAGCCACACTAAGTCATTGGTTCTTTCTTGCAATGAGTACATTTCTTCATATTTAACTCCAAGGGAGACTCGCTCTAACAAATTCTCTTTTTCTTTAAGAATGACTAGGCTCTGCTCAAGTTCCGTGTGGGGTTTACTGATAACCTGGGGACTAGGCATCTCCTTTATCACAAACATGCACAGGAACTCTTATCCTCTCCTCGGTGTCGGGGAGTCAGAAAGGACGGTGGGCCTGCATTCCTAGCCCAGGCATAGCCATGCTGTCTGGCACTGCCTCTTGAGAACTTTCTTCTTGAACTTGAATTATTCCTTCCTCCCCAAATCCCCAATCCTCCCCACATTTTGATGCAAAGCCTTTCATCTCTGAGTAAACATGTTCTTACCCATCTTGCTGAGGTGTTCCCTCTCTGTCCCTAAGGGGGAGTAGGTCATCCCAGGCCCCTAAGCCTTGGCCCAAAGTTCCTAATCCTGTTTGCCGAGCCCTGTGGTGTGAGATGCTGTCCCATCTGTGTAGCCAGATGCCCGCCTACCACGTCTCCCTCTCTCTTCCAAAGGTCCAGATGTCGTAGGAATGACACTAATAGCTACACTGTAAAGCTTCCTGTGTGCCAGGTACTGTGTTAAACCCTCCACATGCATTCTGTCTAATCCTTCCCACCCTGCAGGGGTGAGTATTATTGTCTTTTTCACAGATGAGGAAGCTGAGGCTTGGCAGTGCAGTGAGGCTTAGTAGTTACGAGCCTGGGCTGAGAGTCAAACAGACTTGGGTTTGCATCCCCCCTAGCTGTGGACCTTGGGAATGCTACTTAACCTTCTTAACCTTCCTTTTCCAGATGTAGAAAATGGAGATAATATGGAGAGTATTCACAGGGTTGCTGTGAAAAATTAAATAAAATAACATGTTATTTCATAAGTACTTGCTTACTAAATGCTAGACTTTGTGCCGTCAGTAAATAATAGCTCATCGTAGATACTGCTTTCATCAGCAGCACCGTCATCATCCCCATCCCAAAGCTACATGACTAGCATGTAGATGGAGCCAGGATTGGAACCTAACCCTGCCTGGCTCCAAAGCCCACGTTCTTCCCCCGTCCCACACTGTTGCTCCCAAGTTAATCTTGCCTAAGACTTTCTGGTCCCTAAGTTTACTCTCGGTCTTCTTGGTTGTGCTGTTTGTCCCTGTGTGGGCAGTGGGCTCAAGCTAAGGCGTAAAAGATCTTCGGTCTCTTCCAGCCCAGTGACCTCTTTCCAGTCATTGACTGGGCAGTCCTCAGTGGCTGGGCTCTTCAGGCAACAGCTTGGACAATTTTCCCTGATCGTCAGTGTCATCTCATCCGCTGTGAAAGCCAGAGGCATGGCGGGGGTGGGGGTGGGGGGCGTCCTGTATTGTTGTTTATATCAGGAGGATTATCCAGAGAAAACAGGCACGGCAAAGATAGGGCTGGTGAGTGTTCCTATCATTTGGGGTCACAGATCACTTTGTGAATCTGGTGAAATGTATGGAGCCTCTCTCCCGAAAAATGCCATGATAAGCCCAATATTTTCTCCACAGCCCGCCCAGGGGTCCTGGCTGAGAAACTGAGACCAAGTAGGTTAATTCACATGCTCTTTTATCCTCCTGCTGTTCCTCATTCACAACCGTGGAGGGCGTCTGTTTCTGTAGGATGTTTGTATTCGAGGGCTATTGGGCCATCCTGGTAGCAGTTGGAAATACCTGTTTTACTGATATGATTTGCCATTTTCATTTCTTCCCCATATTTGAGAAATGTATCCACACATTAGAACTGGCCTAGTCTTTTTGATGAGACTGACCTACTGATGTGCACATAAATTCAAGCCATGACTGCATCTAGGAGACCAACTGGAGAGGGTTTTTTGGCCCCAAATATCAGACTTATAAGAATTTTATTGTGATATATAGATTATAAAGGTGCATAAGCTTAGCTTCAGTAGG